TCCCTCTCTGCCTTCCTCCCTCCCTCCTTCTCTTTCTTTCCCTCCCTCTGTGTCTCCCTCCCTCCATCTCTCCTCCTCTCCTTGTGAAAAAAAAATAGCTTGGCAAAAAAGAAAAACTTTTCCCCCTCTTCCTGGCTGCTCTGTTGCCCATCTCCCCTGCCCTGGATTTTAAACTGAATGCTAGGCTCAGCTCTGCAAGGGAGAGCCCAGATGGAGGGAAATAGCTTGGGAAAAGAATAGATACCTTGTCTGGGATGTGGGTGAGGTAGCTAGAATAGAAGCAAAGGAAAACTCACTGGGCAGAGATCTGCTGGGCTGTGTGGTTGAGATAAGCGAGGGAACCAGGCTGGAAGTGCTCAGCTCACTGGCGGCCAACAGAGCCCCAGGCAGATTTGCACCCTGCAAGGGAGCCACCTCCAGCACTCCTCTGCCGCACCCTTTACCTCTTAACACCTCCCTACTGCCCTTCTTGCCTCTTAGCGCCCCCCACAAGTCATCCCACCCACCCCAAGAGGCGGTAATGCCCACTTTGGGAACCACTGCCATAAAGCAACAAAATCTATCCAGACCATCAGACGCAACCCCAGAGGCCGGCAGCCAAGGAAGATGTAACAGGAATCATCTCTAAGTGAAAGGACAGGGAAAACCACTATGTGGGGCACAACAGGCAGAAAACTGAGAGAATGCATGCACGAACATCAACTGATAGTCAGGAGACACAATAAAAACTCCTTAATTTCACAACACACTAACATGTTCAATCCCAATTGCAAATGAGAAACGTAGACATTTTAGACCAAGCCAAATCCACAAATATCAGAGAATTTCTACCTTGGAATTCTTTAATAGGTTCGCAACCTTCTTCATAGTCCCAAAGGTGCTTTTTCAAGAGGCAACTGGGCTTTCTTCATTTTTCCTTTAGCTTCTCCTCCAAGAAACCTCTTCAGTTCTGACTCAGAACTGAAGAAGCTTCTTGGAGGAGAAGCGAAACGCCTTCAAGGAAAAACGAAGAAAGCCCAGGTGACTTTTTTAAAAAGCACCTTTGGGGACAACCATGACTTGTATGACTGAGAATCTTCAGAGACATCCCACACATATTAAGAGAAGCACCAAATGAACAAGAATAATCAGAGAGGTTATGCCCACCCAAAAACCAATCAGGGAAGAAACAACACCCCAATCAACACCCCAATCAAAATACCACGTATAAAGAACCAGCAAACTCTGCTCCTCCCTGCATGGATGATGTTCTTCAGCCTGGTGATGAAAGGTTTGCAGGAAGGAGAACAAGCTTAGAGAACACCAAGTACTCCCCAAAATCAACATAAACAAACATAAAATCTGATGGTTGCTCTAATCTCACTGAGCATTGGAATAATTAAAACTGTTTCTAAAATGAAAACTGTTCAGAAATTTCCAGAAGACCAAGAATGAGAAATCCAAGCATATTTCTTGGGGCCATAAGATCTAGAGAGAAGGGGTCACACCAGAGAAGGTCTGTTCCATCCATTATATCATTATTCTGCTCAGGGCCAAAGATGACTCATTTAATTTAGCTAAGGCCTCTCCAACTTGTCAATTTGATGAGTTGGGCTTGGAATCTCTCCTGGGGTTACAATCAGAGGTGGTATTCAGCAGGTTCTGACCAGTTCTGGAGAACCAGTAGTGGAAATTTTAAGTAGTTCGGAGAACTGGTAAATACCACCTCTGACTGGCCCTGCCCCCATCTATTCTCTACCTCATCATCCTGTTTGATTAGGAGGGAATGGGGATTTTGTAATATCCTTCCCCTGGAGTGGGGAGGGAATGGGGATTTTGCAGTAACCTTCCCCTACCAAACCCACAAGCCGTGCCCACCAAGTCAAGCCATGCCCATAGAACTGGTAGTAACCACTGGTTACAATCCCCCCCAAAATTCTAAAATTTAAGGATATCCAGAAGAGCATAAATCATAAGAGTGTGGTTCATCCTGGACAAATGATCTACATTGCTCTTCTGGATCTCTTTTCCGGGAATCCCAACATCCCTTTTGCTTTTTATATGACCATTAACCTCTGCACTTCTTTGTCTCCAGTTTCCTTAATTTTCTTGATAACAACAGGAACAGTAAAATGTTCTCTTCTGCAGGCATGTGGGCCGGGCGTTGAACAACATTGTGACAAAAATCTCTACGTAAGTGGAATCTGCTACCTGTTTGACACCAAACTGCACAACCCCCAAAACATAACAACTGGATATCAAAGTAAGGAGATGCATTATTATTAATACTTTAATTTTAATGGTTAATATGACAGAGTAAAGGATTTATTAAACACTTGGGGAATATTGAATTGAATCTAGATTAGTTTCTGTTCAGCTTCACATATGCCCTTATCCGGGGGGTCTATTTAATTTTTGGCCAACAGGAATTTCCTCAACAGTCTAGAAATCCCAACTGCCCCCTTTTCATCTGAGACGTTCTTTCTTTTCTTTCATCCCACAGAGTGCCTGAAAGGCAAAGTGGACCTGGTGTTTCTTTTTGACGGGTCAGCCAGCATGAAAACATCTGAGTTCATGACTATCAAGCAGTTCATGATTGACGTCATGAAAGAATTGTGGAACAGTTCTGTACATGTAAGATGTTCTTACTGAGTACCATGTACTGGGTGGGTTCCACATAAGCGTGACCCGACAAAAGCGCGAACATCATAAGCGCGCCGACAAAACCGCGGCGCTAAAACCGCGATGTCAACAGCGCGCCGACAGAAGCGCGATTTAAGTTAAGGTAAGGTTTAGGGTTAGGTTTAGGTTTAGGGTTAGGGTTAGGGTTAGGGTTAGGGTTAGGGTTAGGGTTAGGGTTAGGGTTAGGGTTAGGTTACAGCGCGCTTCTGTCAGCGCGCTGTTCTCGGCGCGCTTCAGGGCTCCTTCGTTGCTCCTTCGTCACGCGGTTTTGTCACCGCGGTTTAGTCAGCCGTGCTTTTGTCGTTCGCGCATTTGTGGTGGAACCCCACATAAGGACCTTGAATTTTTAAGAGGCAGAATTAACTTACTAGCCATGGAAAAATTTCCTTCCTTCCTTCCCTCCTTCCCTCCCTCTCTCGCTCCCTCCCTCCCCCCTTCCTTCCTTCCTTCCTTCTTTCCTTTCTTCCTTCCCTCCTTCCTCTCCAGGGATGGGATTCAATGTTTTTTACTAGCGGTTCTGTGGGCGTGCTTTGTGGGCATGGCAGGGGAAGGATACCGCAAAATCCCCATTCCCACCCCACCCCAGTAACCTGATTTCCAGCTCCATTCTCCTGTTCAGAGCAACAGAAGAAGATCAGCAGGGAGGCAGCAGGGGTGAGGCCAGCCTATTTCCTGGTTCTCCAAACTACTCAAAATTTCCGCTACCTGTTCTCCAGAACCTGTCAGAACTCTGTTCCTCTCCTCCCTCCCTCCGCGCCTTCTATCCATTCCTCCCTCCCTTCCCCCCTCCTTCCTCTCTTTCCTTTTTCCTTCAAAGAGTATTGCTTTATTACAGCCTAAAAATGTTTCGTATATCAGAGGACATAACCATCAAAAGCATTAATTTGATTCTATAAATTCACACAATAGGAGGGAGGGAGGAAGGAAAGGAAGGAAGAAAGGAAGACACTTGATGTTGAGACCACCCCATTTCTGCTGCAGTGTTGCAATTGTGGAGCCATTGGTATAAAGTGGGTCCACTGCAAGAGTGGATTTGTGCTGGCATTACTAGCAGTGCAGCGCATAAAATGTTTTGCATATGCGCATGCACACAACATTAGAAAAGGAAAAAAAATACATTTTTCAAATGAAGATTGTTCTGTGCATTTGCAGAACAGAAAATCAAGATGGCACCGCCACGCACATAACCAGTTCGGGTGCGTGTCCGGCTGAGTTACTACCTACACAGCCGAACCGGTCCGAACCAGCAGGAACCCACCTCTGGTCCAGTGACTCTGATTTCATAAAGGGCAACTTATGAGATGTTGGTTTAAAAAAAAGCATTCAAAACAACTCTGCCTTCATTAAGGAGACTTCCTTAATTATAATCAGGGCTGGGAAATTCTTCTTACGGTTTTCAAGATTTTGTGTTGACTCCAGATTAACCTTAATTATTTTCAACAGCACCCTTTCATCTGACCACTTTGGCAATGAGGGGCGTGCTAGGGTTTGCAAAAGGCTTTTCCAGCCATGCCATTAACTCTCTCTCTCTTTTTCCACCTTTCCAGTTTGCTGCTGTGCAGTTTTCAGAAGATGCCAAACTTGAATTTGATTTTAACGACTATACCAGCAATCGAAATCCTGAACAGCTCTTGGCCAACGTGGTTCATGCCGAGCAAATAACAAACACCTTCAGAGCTATCAAATTTGTGGCGTGAGTAGTTTTCCTTTTGGTGGCAGGAGATTTGGGGTAGGGGGGTAGGGGAGCTTGAGAAGAAATCCAGTCAAGTTGGAGATTTAAAATGGTGTGTCTTTTCTAAAGATTTAGATCACAATTGCATGGAAACATCTGGTGATTAATCAAGCAGGCCATCCAGACCTGGAACGTTGGAGGCTTTAATTACAGTTTGAAATGACATTTTGCCTAATTCACTTGGCCATGTTGCCCAAATCTCTGGTTAGATTAGTGGGAAGCTGAGTGGCATTCCTGGTTCTGATATTCCCACCAGAATGAAATGGGGACATAAAGCTGAGAAGGAATATACAGTTTTTCCTATCTAAAACATCTTGCAAGTCACTTGTTACTTTTTACTGTCTTAAGAAAATGTTTGAAAAACAAAATCTGGACATTTCATTCATCCAGCCATGATGAAGTAGAATTACCACAGGTGGCCTGTGATGTGCCATGTTATCTGACACTAAAGCCATGGTTAAATGGTTTAGCCATGATTATTCCCTGGCTTAGTTTACTGTGTTGTACAAACCAGTTCATAAACAATGCTACACTCCGCATCTAGTTTGGTGATGGGCAGTACAAATTCTGTGCTGTGGTATGGCAAAAGATAATGTAGTCCTTGACTTACAACCACAATTGAGCCCAAAGTTCCTATTGCTAAGTGAGACAGTGCCTTTGCCCTATTTCATGACCTTTCTAGCCACAATTGTTAAGTGAACCACTGCAGTTTTCCCCCTTAAAATAGCGTAGAAATGTTGGTGCCTTATACACCGAAAACAGCCATTTTTGGCCTCCCAAAGCCCCGCCCCCCTGCATCCCATTTTTGTGAAAAATGGGCTGTGTTTTAAAAAAACTGAGGCTTTTTTGGCTTCCCTCGGCCCTCAGCAGCCCTCTGTAGGCTTCAGCAGGGCTGGGGCAAGGTAAAAATGCCCCCGTTTTTGTGGAAAATGGGCAAAAAATGGGCTGTTTTTCATAAAAAGAGAGGTTTTTTGCCTTCCCTCAGCCCCCAGCAGCACTGTGCAGGCTTCAGCAGGGCTAGGGCAAGGCAAAAACAGGGGCATTTTGTCTTGCTCCAGCCCTGCTGAAGCCTGCACAGTGCTGCTGGGGCCTGAGGGAAGGCAAAAACTTTTTTTCTTCCTTACCTCTTTGGAAACTTGGTGCATCTTATACACCAGTGCATCTTATTGTCTAAAAAATATGGTAGTAGCACGGTTGTTAAGTAAATCTGGCTTCCCCATTGACTTTGCTGGCCAGAAGTTCTCAAAAAGTGATCACATGACCCCGGGACACTGCAACTGTCATAAATATGAACCAGTTGCCATGCATCCAAATTTTGATAACATGATCATAGGGAAGCTATGTGAAGTTGTGAAAAATGATCAAAAACTCACTTTTTTTCAGTGCCGTTGTAAATTTGAACAGTCACTACACAAATACTTGTAAGTCAAGGGCTACTCATATTAGCTTCCAACTTTCCAAATTAGATACCTTCCATAAATAGCAGCCTTAATCTCAATTCACCTCAGTGGATAGCCTTGTCGTGTTGGCATAGTTTTAGCCTGACCATGTCTGGAAGGATCAAATTATGACAAGGCCACTAGAGGCCAAATGTTCAAAGTTATACATGTGCCTTCAGGTCCCAATAATTAAAGTGTGCTTAGCATTTTCCTCGTGTTTCCGTGTTTCTCAAAACTGTCAATTGTAAAATGTGTGGACTGCAACACCCATTTGGCAAGTTCAAAGAACACTGGTTTAGATAATAATTTCCTGTGCTTGTTGGTGGCAGAAATGAAGTCTTCATTCCCGAACGTGGCACCCGAAAAGAAGCAAACAAAGTGATTGTCATTATCACCGATGGGGACGCCTCAGACAGGGACAGAGGACATATAGAAGCTGTCAAGAAAAAGAACATCTTGCGCCTAATCATTGGGGTAAAGTATCCAGAGGCCCATCTGGCTAATGGAGAGACCCACATAGCAGTATTGAAGTGGTCTGCCTTATAAACATTATATTAATTGTTAATATGTAAACATGAGGAGTAAAATGAAGAAGCGTATTTCAATTAATAAGATCAGATTCCACCCCCCCAATTAATAAAAGTTAATTCTATACCTGTACAGAAGATCCTCGACTTATGACTACAGTTGGGATCCGAATTTCTATTGCTAAGTTAGGCAAGTTATGTGAATCGTGTCTGATTTTATGGCCTTTTTTGGCTACTTTTGGTAAATAAATCTGGTTTCCTCCATTGATTTTGCTAGTTGGAAGCTGGCTGGGAAACACATGATCCGGAACCTTACAACCGTCGTGAATATATGCCGGTTGCCAAGTGCCCAAAGTTTGATCACATGATCCTGGTGATGCTGTGAGAGAATTAAATGCAAGGATCAATTGTAAGTCCCTTTTTTCAGTGCTGTTGTAACTTTGAATACGGTAATTGCTAAATGAATGGTTGTAAGTCGAGGACTACCATATGTATCAAATGTTCATGTACAGGTAGTTCTCAACTTATGACCATTTGTTTAGCAACTGTTCAAAGTGACAACAGCACTAAAAAAAGGGACTTATATCCTTTATTTGGCTAAGTGAGAAATTTGTTAAGTAAGCTTTGCCCCATTTTATGACCATTCTTGTCACTGTTGTTAAGTGAATCAGTGCAGTAATTAAGTTAGTAACACGGTTGTTAAATGAATCTGAGTTCCCCATTGACTTTGCTTGTCAGAAGGTCACAAAAGGGGATCACATAACCCCAGGATACTGCAACCGTCATAAATTTAAGTCAAGCGTCTGAATGTAAATCACCTGACTATAGGCATGCTGCAACAGTCGTAAGTGTGAAAAATGGTCACCTTTTTTCAGTGCCGTTGTAACTCTGAATGGTCACTAAATGAACTATTGTAAGTCAAGGACGAACTGTACTTGATTCTTTACTGCTTCCCACCCGCTTATTGCTCTTTCCTTTTTCTGCATCTTTCAACGTTTTCAAAGACTGACTATAGAAATGCAAAATATTATCTCAATAATTCCTTCCTTGTCTTTCCAGATTGGTAATCACCTTAATTCACCTGATTCCCAAGAGAATCTCAAGCGGATTGCCTCGGAACCCACAAGTCAATTTTTTAAAATTCTTGCCAGCTTTGATGAGCTCAAAGACAGCTTCAATGATCTCCAGTCTAATATCTTTGCTATTGAAGGTAAGTCGAGCACACAGACAGACAGACAGACAGACAGACAGACAGACAGACAGACAGACAGACAGACATGCACACATACATACATACATACATACATACATACATACATACATACATACATACATCAATATCAATACATGAACAGTGAGGCATCTGGGTATCATTCATTTGAATACAAGTGATAGTGATAGTATTAATGCAATTTGTTATTTAGATCATATTTATGTAGTTGTAATGTTATTATATTTATGTTAAAATATAGGTCTTCATTATTATTTTTTTATTATTATTATTTTTTATTTTTTTGTTACATAAACAACACATGCCCACACCAGTGGGAAAAGAAAAAATCAAAACACAAAAAAGACAAAAAACAAAAAACAAGGCAGGGGGAAAAAAAGAAAAAACAAAAACAAAAAAACACAAGTATATATTATAAAAAAGTATATCAGCTGGTTACAACATGTTTTGGTGCATCTCTTCCATTAATTCATATTAATTCAAATATCTTAACTCAAATGTTTACCATATTGACATCATCATACCTCCACTTTTATTTGACTACAGTTATTTAAACATCTTTCATCCTTAACTATGCCAAAGATTTAATCCATAACCACATGCTAGCATTTCATTTACTTGTTTGTAAAATCCTCCATTAACATCAAATCCTCATATCCTGTTTTAGCTAAACATCCATAATATTTAATACCAAAAATTCCATATTCCATGTATATTGTTTATTATCATTCTCCTTTCTTTATGTAATCATATCGTATATCATAACATTTTCCCCATATTAGTTAACATTTAACTGTATATAGTTTTGTTTTATTTTTTAATAGTGATAATTATTGTGATTAATAACCTTTGTATATAGTCCAAAAGTATTTCTAACCTTCCCTTCTCATATCCAATTATTATTTATCATATCAACTCCACATTATATACATTACTGTCATTATCAATTATTATTCAACTATGTCTATTACAAATAAAAATAATTAGGTTTAGCTAATTTTGAGTTGTATTCTTCCATCTATCAGCCTGTGTCTCTCCAATAACAAAACCTCCTTAATCCTATTACCATTCGTGGATCAAGTTCTACAAACGTCTTTATAAGCAAGTCCAAACAGGAATATCTTCGCACCTTTTTGCTTAAGATGCCTCTCATATAATGTCCTACACGTTGTCCTACGCTTGTTGAACTTTTCAACTTGTCTTTAATTCTCAGTGGTGGTATCGAAGGATTTGCAAATGATGTTTCCCAAATTCCTCCCTTGGGTCTTCATCTCTATCAACATATTTCCTGTTTTAACTTAAGTATTTCTTCCATCTCTACTATCTTTTGCTGCCAAGCCTCTAGAGGATATGCCCAAATCTCTATTTTCTTTTGAAAAATATCTTTCTGTTTATCCAGTATAATTTTTTGGTATTTTAGTTTAGTTTTATTACCTTCTCTTTCTTATCTTCTTGTTTTGTTTGTTAATTTGTTCCTTTTATCTATTTCCCTGGTCTCTCTGTTATATTCTCTATTTCCTGGGCTTTTGGGTCATTATTCATTATCCCTTGTGGAGCACTTTTTAGCTTCCCATTTATGTTATTCATTAAATCTATCATCTCCCTTTGATTCCTTGTCATAATATCATAAATGTTTTGAAACATCGATACATTTCTTTTTACATCTCATTTATCTCCCCCTGCTAAAACATCTTATCTTCTTTTGATAAGTTCAAATATAGATCAATAGTCTGTCAATGGTCTGTCACTGCCCCAAAGTCTCAATTGTCTTTGCCCTCAGAAAGTTGATCTGTAAACCATTTACTCAGTCCTGATGTTGCTCCTCAGGGAATACAGTAATGTAGTTCTTTATAGCCTTTTTTTAGGTAATCCAGGAAAGTTTTCAAATGTCTCCTTAAATCCATTCTATGAGTACAATCATAACTCCTGGTATTTGAAAGTCACTTTAATTAGATGTCTTCTGTGTTTTCACCATTAGAGCTCCAGTAGTCATAGAGTAGATAAGGAATAGAGCAATAGATAGCACAGCAGTCTTCTAGGTGTTATTTCTACTTTCTCCTCTGTCTTATCAGTCTTTTCCCAGGATTATAGGAATATAATTATTCCATTCACCTATAGGTGGCGCCTTTAGCTTAACTTCAACATTGCACAAATTCGAATAGGTTCCGTTTGTGTTTGTTCAAACAAATAGTCAAAATTCTGACAAGTAATTCCAGCATTTTAAAATGCCTTATTGTCAATAAAAATTAGAGATCCAATCTTTCTATGTTTTTAAAGTTTTGCATCTCTTCTTAAAATCCTTTTCTTTCAGGTCTATAATTTTTCTCTCTGTAATTGTTCGCTGCTTAAAAAACTCTTCAGAGTCTCTTTTTCAGAGTTTATTTTGTTTAGGGTAGGTTTTAGGTAAAAAATAAAGTCACCTCACCCAGTTCCAGTCATTGTTTATCCAAACCACTCCAGCACATTCTTTGTTTCTTTGGCTACCCCAGCTTCACGGCAGCCATAATGGCTGCCTCTCCTCTTCATCATCAGATGAGAGGGAATTAGCCTTGGGTAAAGCAGGAGAGCCGCTGCTCTCTGCAACATGCAGAGCACTCCTCCATCCTTTGTCCCCCCTACAGGATGACTTTAGCCCCTTGTGGGGCCCTCCAATGAAGGGATTTTGCAGAGCCCCACTCTTTGCATCCGATAGCACCACGATAGAAGTCTTCAACCAGAAATCTTAAAACATATACATATAATCCCCACTAGTTGAATACTGATTAATGTATTACACAATATTACTTTCACCCCTTGTGAAATGGGCAATTTTTTTTTAATCCCTATCTTTCTTCATCACAGGTACCAGTGACAGCAGATCCTTCCACCTGGAATTGTCATCCAGCGGATTCAGTGCAGATATATCCCAGGTGAGGCTGAAGGATTGGAAAGACACCCCCCCTCCCCAATATACAGGTAGTCCTTGATTTATGCCCTCAATTGGGACCAAAATTTCCATGGCTAATAACATGGTTGTTAAATTAGTTTTGCTTGATTTTTTGATCTTTTTTGCCACAGTGGTTAAGCAAATCACCACAATTGTTAAGTGACTCACACAGCTGATTAGCAAGTCCAACTTCTTCCACTGGCTTTGGCTGGGAACATCAAAAATGGCGATCATGTGACCTCAGGATGCTACAACCGTCATAAATATATGCCAGTTGCCAAGTGCCTGAATTTTGATCACATGACCAGATCATGCTGGCTGGGGAATTCTGGGATTTGACGATTACATATCTTAAAATTGATAAACACTGGTAGGGGTTCATCATCTCTAGAATATTTGTTTTTAAGGGCAAAATCAGGGCTGAGAACACTTCCAGATGAGCACATTATAACAGGAGTCTCCAACCGTGGCAACTTTAAGACTTGTGGACTTCAACTCCCAGAAATCCTCAGCTAGCTTCGCTGGTTTAGGAATTCTGGGATCATCTCCCAGTGCACAAGTCTTAAAGTTGACAAGGTTGGAGTCCCCTGCATTATAACATTGCCATCTATGCTTCCTTGTGATCTGCCTTGCTAAAGCAAGATCTTTTGATCTGCAGGATCATGTGATTCTTGGTGCTGTGGGTGCTGACAACTGGGCTGGGGGCATTCTAGAGCAGCAGCAGGATTTTGCCGGTGAAAGATTCATTACAACTCCCTCAGTACGCAAAGAGATGGAAGGTGCCTACCTGGGTGAGTAGAGAATGCCATCATCCCAATATAATATGGACTACTCTTTCCCATCCATCATCATACGTTGGCTGAGCATTGTGGCTGTTCTGGGTGCCAATTTACAGAAGATGGATCTGGATGTTTATACAAACTGAAGTTTAATTTTTTGTTGTTTTGCTTATCCTATAGAATTGGGCGGTATATAACCATCTTTCCTATGGAACATAGGGTTATGAGTCAAACCTGTCTTTCAATCTTGTGGTTACTTCTTGTTGTTACAGATACATTTAAAATTAGGGACACGGTGGCTCAGTGACTAAGACGCTGAGCTTGTCGATCAGAAAGGTCTGCAATTCAGCGGATCGAATCCCTAGTGCTGCGTAACGCAGTGAGCTCCCATTACTTGTCCCAACTTTTGCCAACCTAGCAGTTCGAAAGCATGTAAAAATGCAAGTAGAAAAATAGGGACACCTTTGGTGGGAAGGTAACAGCGATCCGTGCACCTTTGGTATTTAGTCATGCTGGCCATATGACCACGGAGACGTCTTCAGACAGCGCTGGCTCTTCGGCTTTGAAACAGAGATGAGCACCACCCCCTAGAGTCAAGAATGACTAGCACATATGTGGAAAGGGGAACCTTTTTTACCTTTGCATTTAAAATTATTCACAAATATGAATACAGGTACTCCTCGACTTACGACCACAACTGAGCCCAAAATTTCTCTTGCTAAGTGAGAACAGTTGTAAAGTGAGTTTTGCCTCATTTTACAACCTTTCTTGCCATACTTGCTAAGTGGACCACTGCAGTTGTTAAGTTAGTAACACAGTTGTTAGGTGAATTAGGCTTCCCCATTAGCTTTTCTCTTCAGAAGGTCACAAAAGCTGATGTACCCCAAGCTACTGTAACGTCATAAATATGAGTTGCCAAGTGTCTGAATTTTGATCATGTGATCATGGGCACACTACATCAGTGGTAAGTGTGAAAAAGAGTCATAAGTTACTTTCTCAGTGTGGTTGTAACGTCGAACAGTCACTAAACAAATAGTTATAATTTGAGGACTATATATAATAGTATTCAATAAGCCTTTGGGTATGAAGGGGCTATAGTAACCCACATGAAGGTTTTTTTGCCCTGTGAAATCAATCTATCTATCTATCTATCTATCTATCTATCTATCTATCTATCTATCTATCTATCTATCTATCTATCTATCTATCTATCTATCTTTGCCTGTAGCCTTGAAAGTTTCACATTCACTAGTTTATATAGTTTCTAAATATCAGTTGTTTAAAAAAGCAATTTAACATTATGTGTGAACTCAGGGATTGTGGTTTATAAACCATGGCCTGCTGGTTAAGTATGCTAAATGAGCCTAGTTGTTCTGATATACTTTCCCAAGTAAGTACACCAAACCGAATGTAATGTGTAAATCTAGTTATCTTATTTAAGAAGCCGTAGTGAAAACAAGATTTGGTGTAAAACAGTGTATAAACCCAGGCAGAGTGTCTAATCCTCACTATTATAGAATTAAAAGAAGAGGCTGCTTTGTTGTGCAAAATGCCCCCAGTTTAACTCAGTGTTTCTCAATCTTGGCAGCTGGGAAATCTGTAGATTACAACTCCCAGAATTTCCTAGCCAGCATGATTTTAAGGCACTGATGTTCACACATCTTAAAGCTTCCAAGATTGACAAACATTGGTCTAACCCTTCTGTGGGATGTCCATCCATCCATGTTTTTAACCTTCACAGGGTACACACTCAGTTTTCTCCAGCATCGTCAGAAAGCATTCTACGCCGTTGGTGCCCCTCGATACCAACATATGGGAAGGGTCCTCATATTTGAGGTTGATGCCAAAACTCAGAACTGGACTTTAAAGCAAGAAATTAAAGGGCAACAGGTAAAGGAGAGAAAAAAAGAATCATAGAATCATAGTCTAGTCATAAGGAACTTTCTAGATGTTTTGGTCCACTGCTGCCTAGCATCATTATTAGAACTAGGCCAATGTTTCCCAACCTTGCAAAATTGAGGGTTAACAGACTTCAACTCCCAGAATTCTCTGCAGTGGCTATGGAATTCTAGGAGTTGACATCTATATACCTGGAAATTGCCAAGGTTGAGAAACCCTGATAGCAAAAGGACAATCATGGTGGCCCAAGAAAACCTAATCAAGATTCTTCTCCTTCTCTTTCCCTAGTAGATAGCAGTGGTTGACTTTTGTGAGCTGTAGCACACTTCATCAGGTGCATGGAATGGTTAAACATGGGGTACCTAGAGAGAGAGAGAGAGAGAGAGAGAGAGGGAGGGAGGGAGGGAGGGAAAGTGAGAGGGGGGGAGAGAGAGATTGGACAGTGATGGTAGAGAGATGGGATAATTTTGCAGATAAAGATTCAAGGGAAAAGATTACAAATACCTTGTCAATTAACAAATGCAATGTGTTAAGACTCACAATGTCTGTTCAGATGTTCAAAAAGGCCAGACTTTGTCAGATGATGTAAATAAGATAAGATAAGATGATAAGGTAAGGTAGGGTAGGATAGGATAATTATAGGGTAAGGTAATGTAAGGTAGGGTAGAGTAGGATAGGGGTAGGATAGGATAGGATGGGGTAAGGTAAGATAAGGTAAGGTAAAGTAGGGAAATGATAGGGATATGGTAAGGTAGGGTAGGGTAGAGTAGGGATAGGGTAGGATAGGGATAGGGTAAGGTAAGGTAAGGTAGGGTAGGGATAGGGTAGGATAGGGATGGTAGGGATAGGGTGGGGTAGGATAGGGTAGGGTAATGTAGGGTAGAGTAGAGTAGAGTAGAGTAGGACAGGACAGGACAGGACAAGATAAAATAATTTTATTGTCATTTTTACAGCCTGTTCTCAAGAAAAAGTGTATATCTAACCAAACACAAACTTAATGCACATATAAACATGCTATACATACATAATTAGATGTACATGATCATTTCAAAGCACAGTACAAAGATCAACTGTTATTATCTATGATTAGGACTCCTGTGCTGGTAACTCTGCCTCTTCATTCTATGCATTTTGATGCCCCTTTTGCAGACTGGATCCTATTTTGGAGGAGTGCTTTGTGCCGTGGACATAGATGGTGATCAAGAAACAGACCTGCTGCTTATCGGGGCCCCGCAATATTTCACCGAAACGAGAGGAGGCCAGGTTTACGCATATGGTTGGGAAGAGGTGAGTCAGGAAAATGGGCAGGGCAATACAGGTAGTCCTCAACTTAAACAGTTCGTTTAGTGACCATTCAAAAGTTACAGTGGCACTGACAAATGTGGCTTTATGGCCGTTTTTCACAGTTATGAACTTTCCAGTATTCCCATGTGATCAAAAATTCAGATGCTTGGCAACTGGTTCCTATTTAGGATGGTCGCCAAGTCCCAAGATCACATGACCCCCTTTTGCAACTTTCTGACAAGCAAAGTTAACAAGGAGGTCAGATTCGCTTGACAACTGGGTTACTCACTTATCAACGGAAGCAAGAAAGGTTGTTAAAATGGGATAAAATTCACTTAACAAATGTCTCGCTTAGCAATAGAGTTCTTGGACTCAATTATGGTTGTACGTCGAGGACTACCTGTACATATCCCACATATCTGGGAGATGCCCTCATTGTATTCTAGATTTGGAGAGTGGATGCTATCTCAAAGACATCTTTCTTTCTAGGATAATCTCGTTCTCCTTGGAGAATTTAATGGGGATTTAGGACACCCCTTGGGCCGATTTGGAGCAGCCATCACAGATCTGGCAGACATCAATGGGGATGGACAGACGGACGTGGCTATAGGAGCTCCCTTAGAGGATGAGGAGAGGGGAGCTGTCTACATCTACAATAACCTCGAGAAGACTCTGCTTATGGAGTACAGCCAGGTGTGACTACAGCAATGGTGTTGCATGCTAGGTTTACCTGAGAGATTTGCTAACATGCCACATCCAGCTGTTCATTACTGATCTCCAAAGCTAAGTTGATCAGATCAAAGTAATAATTGGATTACTACTAAATGTTACAGCTGTAGGCATCTCAGAAGACGCTAATAGTCAAGTCTTTCCGTATTGTTCAGTGAAGCTACATGGATGTGTGTGTAAAATTGCCAAGGGGGGAAATCAGTTTGAAAGATGTAACAAAAAAATGTAAAAGAAATAAACTAAAGGATCCTATGAACCCAGGGCACTTAACTAGCTAAGAGACTCCAAACAGTTTTTTTTTTTCAAGAGGCGACTGGACTTTCTGGTTTTTGTTTGAAGATGTTCCGCTTCTCATCCAAGAAGCTTCTTCAGCTCTGAGTACCAGTCATCAGTCAAAGCTGAAGAAGCTTCTTGAATGAGAAATGAAACGTCTTCAGAGAAAAACCAGAAAGTCCAGTTGCCTCTTTAAAAAAGCACCTTTGGGACAACCATGACCAGGATGACTGGGAATCTCCATAGACATTTCGCCAGGACACTGGCCTGGCCATTTCTATGCATCAACAAGGGTTCATACAACACTTCTGACACATTCATTTCACACTCTGAAAGTCAGTTTTGGGTTGGCAGCACATTAGAACTAGAAAGTTGATGGCCTACAGCAAGGAGCATCCAACCTTGACAACGTTAAGACTTCTGGACTTCAACTCAGGTGGGGGAATTCTGGGAGTTGGAGTCCACAAGTCTTAAAGGTTGGACACTCCTGGTCTACAAGGTTTCTTCCGTCTGTCAACTATGTCTTTGAATAGACAGCGCCAACATGACTGACCAAAGAAGTCCTGCATCTATTCTGTCAATCACTCCATGGAAGAATAGCTTTTTTAAAAAAAAACAACAACACCTTTTGGATGACCATCTATTGTCATTCCAAGGAAGTTATAAAATATATTAAAACGTGGCAATAGAAACACAGTAAAACGCAGTCTAAAATATTAATTTTTGAAGCACCAGCTTTCTGAAAGAATCAGACTAAGGCTCTTCCAGTCTGGAACTTTACTTCTAGTTAAGTCAACAGTATTTATCTCCTGCAGAGAATCACTGGAGCCAGCATTTCTCCTGGTCTGAGATACTTTGGACAGTCCATCCAAGGAAAGACAGATCTCCGTGGAGATGGTCTCATCAGCATTACAGTAGGAGCCTTGGGAAAGGTGATGGTTCTCCAGTAAGTGACTGAGAGTTCATGTTCTTGGGTTGACCCAGATGAGACCATAAGACTTCAGAAAGTGAAAGAAAGACCAGAAAGTGAAGCAAAGAGCAATTGCAGGACACATAACAATATATTCAGTGTTTTTTCCACTACCATATTTATTAAATTAGGAACTTATTAGGGGAGTTTTCATTTCCTATAGAAATAACAATAAACTTCTAAACCAGTGGTTCCCAATCTTTTTTTTTTTTTTTGGCCGTGCCCCACCTAAAAATCTTTAAAATCCTGATGCCCCCCCCCCCCCCGTGATGTATAATTCTTATTTCACTCAAAAACTGAACTCTACTAATGCAGAGGAAGCCTAAAATGCTATTAACTTGGTTTAAACATGGATCAAATTGCCCCCATTAAAAATCAAATTGCCCCCCTTTGGGGCATGGGCCCCACGTTGGGAACCACTGTTCTAAATGAATGTCAGAATAGAAATTTCCCAGCTTGTAGGAAGCAATTCACTTTTTGTTACCCTCAAAAGATACTATAAAGAAAGAAAAATAGGCTTTAGATATTTGTAAGATTATGTTTTCCTTTCCTGGGGCTTCAGCAGAATAATTGATAATAACAAACAAAAATATACACTTTTTGTTTAAGTAGTGAAGATGAGGAATTTGAAATTTATGTTAGATACCATGTAGCTTCAGAAAGAGAAACAATCTGATTTTACTTCTTCTTTCTTCTGTTTCAAAAGTAGAATTTAACATTAAAGGCAAAATAAAGCGAAATTCTAACTCTTGTTAACAATAATTAGTTGTGAGAAAAGAGAAAATACAACATTCTTACTTTTGTGAAAGGTGACTGACCTTTCTTTAATTGGCTGAGATGGGGAGGGTAAATTATTAGAAATAAAATCCCTGGTTTTAGGAAGATAAAAATCTGTCTGAGCTGGGAAATTATTTCTCAAATTAAATTATAATTACAGATAGTCTGACTTATAACCACAACTGAGCCCAAAATTTCTGCTGTTAACTGAGGTATTTTCTAAGTGAGTTTTATGACCTTTCTTGCCACAGTTGTTAAGTGAATCACTGCAATTGTTAAGTTAGTAATATGGTTGTTAAGTGAAACTGGCCTTCCAATTGCAGGATACTGCAACCATTATAAATATGAACCTGTGGCCAAGTATCTTAATTTTGATTATATGACTGTGGGGAATATTGCAACAGTCATAAAAAATATAAAGTAATTTTATTCACTGCCGTTGTAACTTTGAACTTTGAACACCTAAATGTAGACGCTTTGATCCACAGGGACTAGTAGAATACAATACAATACAATACAATACAATACAATACAATACAATACAATACAATACAATACATACAATACAATAGCAGAGTTGGAAGGTCTTCTAGTACAACCCCCTGCCTAGGCAGGAAACCCTATACTGTTTCAGACAGATGGCTATCCAACATCTTCTTAAA